ACTGCACAGACTGCCTGAGAGACAGAAGCAGCTTCCTGATTCCTCTTTGGGCCAGAGCATCCACAGGGACTGCAGCCTAGGACTGCCCTCAGCCCAGCAATGCCAGCTCCAGGCCTGGGCTAGGCAGGCAGCCAAGCCCATCCCCAGGAACAGCAGCCAGGCTGCCCAGGGGAGGAGGGAGGCTGCAGGCTGCTGTGCAGGGAGGGAGGAGCAGCTGGAGCTGGACTGGAGGAGAGAACCTGGAGGCTGATCTTGGTCCAGCATAGGCTAAGCAGTTACTGTCTTCCATATTTCAGGTAAACCCCAAGCTACAACCCTGTCTGCAAGTAGGTTTCCTGGGTGTTTTTTTTTTTTATTCTTTCTGCCCTTCCTTTTTCCCCACCCCTCCTTGTCCCTGGCTCCATTAAACTCATTGTTGCTACTTAGCTGAAGCAGGGAGCAGAGTCACTTACTCTGAGAACAGGAGAGCTGCTGCGGGCACCTGGGGAGTTCTGCACTCCTGCTCCAGCCGGCAGAGCTGGGCTGGTGACAGAAAGGGGCACTGTTCTACAAGGGAGGCTGGATTCTGTCACTGGCTTTCTGGTGTTAGCAACTGTAATAAAGGCTGGCAACTGCCGAGTACTTTCTATGAGCCAGGTATTGGGCAGAGCATTTTACATGGATTATCTCATTCACTCCACCCACCGTCCAATTTTAGAGTCACCTGCTGACAGCCACACAGCTACTACCCTCCCCATCACTCAGATCCAGGTCTGTCTACCCCCAGAGCTCACCTCTTGATTATCTCCTGCTCCTCCCTTGGCAGCTGCTTGACCCTGGTGTACCTCCATTTCTTTTCTTAGGAAGTGGGGGTGCTGACTCCTCTGAGCTCCATGTGTGTCTGTCGTAATGTACTAACAGTTACAGAGTGGAACTCACTAATAGTGATGATGGTACTGAGGACATCTGACTGCAGCGCCCAGACTGTGCACTGTGGAGTAAGAGCAGGAGACTACTTGGGAGGGCAGTTCCATTGAATGAGTATACACGAGTAGCCGTAAATCCTGTAGAGTGAGGACTAAGAGGAAAGGGAAGGAGTCTGGACCTGGCTGGAGGTTTGCCCCACTGGACAGGGAGTGACCTGAATGTGATCTGAATGTCCACAGGGCATAGCACATACCTAGCTTGTCTTACTGTATGGAGAACATGATCCCCAGGTATTTCTGGGCAGTGGTGCCTTTGAGCAGGGTCAGTGCTGTGGTTCGAGAGACTGTTTGTGACCGAGACCCAAGTGCATGAGTTGAGGCAGGGGTAGGCATCCTGGCTGGGCCTGGGGAAGCAGAAGCCTGGGTGGAGCCCATTGTTCAGATGGGACAAGCCGGGGCTTCTATTAGTCTAACCAGATACTAATTGGCTATTAATAACTGTCATATCAAGTGTGTGTGTGTGGGGGGGGGGTGCACAGTATGTGTTGACAGGACCCCTTTGTCTGCATTTCCTACAGTGAGGGAGATAACATTTTGCAGGTTGAGGAAGTACAGGTTTTGATCAGGGTCAAACAGCCTGTGGCAGAGCTGGGTTGTGATCTCAGAGCTGGAGCTTTGAGCCATGCTGGTGGACAGAAACACTACAGGGCAGGGCCTCTGGACTCACTGTAGTCCCCAGCCCTGGGGAGGCTGAGCCCCAGGGCATCCTGTCTACCTGGGTCTCCATGGAGGGCTCCCCTGGGAGAGGGCAGTAGGTAGGACACCCTTCTTGAGCCCTGGGCACAGACCATGTGTTCTCTTTCCAGTGGCTGACTTGCTGCTCTGGGGTTGCTGTGGTGCTACTCCTGAGCTCGGGGCCCTTCTGCCAGTGGGCTTTCCCTAGGTGCACTGATGAGGGTGGGCTCAGCAGTGTTACCTGGTGGTAAGGGTCAGGGTTTCTGAAGCCAGGCACCAGGTTTTTTGTTTATGATCTTTGGTAATTTGCCTTGCACCTCAGTTGTCTTATCCTTAAACGGGGTTGTGGTGAGGATATATGAGTTTTAATGTCCATAAAGGGCTTACTTAGCCTAGTGCCAGGTGTGACATCAAGTGCTCAGTGATTGATAACTGCTGTTATTAACTATTAGCCAACAGCTAGTGGGTCCAGGGAAAATTTCAACTCCAAACACTCGAAGGAAGTGTGGCTAGCCTGGGACACAGGCTGGGTGCCGTGAGCGAGCCTGGGGAAGGCTCTGGGAGCAGAACTGTTTCCTGAAGAGAAGTAGCCGTGTAGAAGGAGCCTGTCGAATAATCAGGGCCGGGGTGGGGGGAGGGTGTCCTCACCATCAGATGTGAAAATATTTCTTCTGGCCTGACCCTGTTTCAGAGACAGGACAGAGTGGGATGTGGGCCCTCGCCAATGGACCCTCTGGCTAAATGGATCTCCCTCCTTCTTCTCTGCTGTTTGGCATGTTAAAAGCCTTCAGATTTTAGCTGGTTCTGCTGTGTCAGATCATCAAAGATGCTCTTAACACGGAGGGCTGGGTGGGAAGAGGGATTTGGGCCTCTTTGGCAGGCCTACCTGTTTTCCCCTCCTACTTGAAGGTCTTGTCACTAGGGTGTAGAGGAAGCTGGTACAATGCCTGGCATAGGTGGGTTAGATAGAGGCCAGGAAACCCTCCTGACCTGCTTGGTACCTGGGCCTCCCTCCACAACAGGACCTGAGCAGCAAACCCTGCTGAGCCAGTGCTCTGGGGAATTATATTCTGGGAATCAGCTGCCAGTCTGCGAGTGTGTGGAGTGTGTGTGTTTGGGCCTTTTGTTTCTTTGAGCGCTCTAGTCTTTAGGAACACAAATCTGGGAAGCAGACCCTCCACATGGTCCAGTCCTGCTGGTTCCGAGATAATGCAGCTCCAACAGTCACTTCCCTTGTATGCGGGGCTTCCAAGGATTAACCCTTTCCCGCTGATTTTCAATAAGCTGTGCTTATGGCTTCGTAGCTATACTCTTAAAGCATAAAACAACTTAATAATTATGAGGGTCTGTCATTTTTCACACCAAAAACCCTTATCAGGGGTTCCATATGTTTTTGAAGCCAAAGTGAAACTGGAGTCCTTTGAGGGCCTGTATAGACACATCTCTGCTCATTTGTTCTCTTTGAGGGTGGAGAGTGGGGCACACCCTGATACGATATGAATCTCCAATAACTGCAGACGTGATTCTGGTCTTTGTTTTAAACATGTACACCCTGACATACCTTTTGAATTCTTTTTGAAGATGACCCCAAATTTAACCAGGCACTATTTGGAGGAAGCTCAAGTTCTTTCTATAAAGTTCAAAGCTCCAACCTTCTGTAAAAGCACCCTCTGCCCTACTGCCCGTCTCCTGAGAGCTCTGAATTTGGATCATGAAGGTCTCTGAAAGCTCCTTAGAGCTTGGGAGGCACTGGTACTGGCTGGTTGGTCCACTTTCCTTCTTAGGCTCTGGCTTCTGATCTGAATTCTGTTAACATGGGAACTTCAGTGGCTACAGCTATTACAGCAAGTGGTAAAATGTGTCCCAGTACAGGTGCTCCTGCACCTACAATGGCTTATGTCCTGACACACCCATCACAAGCTGAAACCCTCGTAAGTCACAGTGCATTTAATACACCTAACCTACTAGAATCCTAGCTTAGCCTCATCTACCTTAAACGTGCTCAGAACTCTTACATTAGCCTACAGAGTCATCTAACACAAAGCCTGTTTTATAACAAAGTGTATTGCACGTAATTTATTATACACACAGCTTTGCACCTTTGTAAGTTGAATCATCATAAGTTAGGGATCGTCTGTAGTAAATTGTAGATGGATCTTCTTCTAGTGAGCTAGTTGAAAGTAAGAATAAGAGTCCTTCCGGCCCATGTGGCTCAGTGGATTGAGTGCCATCCCATGGACTGAGAAGTCTGGGTTCAATTCCTGGTCAGGGCACATGCCCGGGTTGCAGGCTCGATCCCCAATGGGGTGTGTGCAGGAGGTGGCTGATCAATGTTTTGCTCACATCGATGTTTCTATTTCTTTTTTCCTTCCTTTCTCTCTAAAAAAGTCAATAAAAACATATTTTTTAAAAATATAAGAGTCCTGAGTAGACAAGGTCTTCAGAGAAATCACCTCATTCCTGGCCGAAATTTCTAACAATTCTTTAAAAACACCTTTTAATTACATAGTAACCACCATGGTGAGTGTGTTGTGTCTCAGTGCGGACTTCTTTTTTCATGTAGCAGTTATCCTGCCATGTAGATTGGGTTTGGGTTGGTCTGCCCTCCTCGTAAGGTGGAGACACGCCTTGGAGGACTGAGCCTGCAGGCCTGTAGGACATGCACATTCCGTGTGAACTTGGCTCCATTCCCCCTGCATGCCACCGTGCAGGGCACCTGCGGTCTGGTCTGGGAACCCGGTGTGGACGGCAGGCCTGGTGGAGAGAGGACATTTCACGAGCTCTGTGGGAGGGGCCCAGCAAGGGCTCTGAAGAGACCAGAGACACATTTTACTTGGCTGTTTGGCTAGGACTCTGCTTGTAGTCTTGACTGAGAAAATCCTTTACCTCATGTTCAGGCTGTCATGAAACTGTAATTGTCTTGGATGTGGCCACCCTTTCCCCTGCTGGAAAAGGAAATCTGAGGATTTTGACATTAGAGACCAGAAGATTAACCTTTTATGTGCACCTTGTGGCTTTACTCGGGCCCAAATAACTAGCTTATGTGATGGCAAGTTGGCAAGATAGATTTCCTCTGGAATATTTCTGGTGAAACTGTAGTTTTCCTTGATGCATTCTGCACATGAACCAACCCCTTGGTAGCCTGTGTTGCTGTGAGTGTCAGGAATTGTCTGTATTGGGTCTCCACATGCGCTGGAGCCACTGCGTGTCCATGTGAAGGTATAGAGCTGCTTCCAAGGGAGGTGGAGATGTATTCGGAGTGTCTCCTGGTCCTGGGCTGGCTCCGTGCAGCCAGTCCTGGAGAGGAGCTTTCACGTCCCGTCTCTGTCCAGCGGTGACTGCTCTCCAATTTCCTTCCAGGTTGGCTGACTCCTCTGGCTGATGGCATGTTGAGATTCAAGGGCCAGTGGCAGCGAGGGCATCTGATCCAGAGGGGACCAGTCTAGAGTCCAGGCCACCAGTACCATGGGCCAGTGTGTCACCAAGTGCAAGAATCCCTCATCAACCCTGGGCAGCAAGAATGGAGACCGTGACCCCAGCAGCAAGTCACACAGCAAGCGAGGTGCAGGTCACCGTGAGGAACAGCCGCCAGCCTGTGGCAAGCCAGCGGGGGACATCCTCGTCAATGGGACCAAGAAGGCAGAGGCTGCCACTGAGGCCTGCCAGCTGCCAACGTCCTCAGGAGATGCTGGGAGGGAGCCCAAGTCCAATGCCGAGGAGTCTTCTTTGCAGAGGTTGGAAGAACTGTTCAGGCGCTACAAGGACGAGCGGGAGGATGCAATTTTGGAAGAAGGCATGGAGCGCTTTTGCAATGACCTATGTGTGGACCCCACGGAATTTCGAGTGCTGCTCTTGGCTTGGAAGTTCCAGGCTGCTACCATGTGCAAATTTACCAGGTTAGTCACACACCCTTTTTCAAGTGAGCAGAGGAGGACAGAGCACCACTGGGCGGTGGTCCCAGCTAGGGTAGAGCTGGGTTGGCTTCGTAGGGCTTGGGTACATCTTTTCTTTTTGTGTCAGTTTCTCTAAAGCTGCTCAGCCTCTGAATAACTAGGCGCTGACCCTCCTGGCCTGAAGTTAACGAGGCATAATCCATGTGAGCCCTGTTGCCACATTGCTGCCCAGCCTCGCTGCTGCCGCAGACCCTGCACTCCCTGCTTGTCCTTCACTCCTTCCTTCTCAGTGTTCCCTGTGCACCTGGCACAGTCCAGCACTTGGAATGCCCTCTGAGTGCGTGCCTCCATCACTGCACGAGGTGTGGCTCCCCTTCTGGCTCTCCACACAGCGCCCCAGCCGGCCCTGTTTTCAAGCAGTAATTGGACACACCGTCATGGTCATACATCCTTATAGAGGTTGTTTGTGTGGGAGGACGTAGCAGGATTACCTCAAAGCGCTGGGTGATAAATAAGAATTTACTCTGAGAGCCTCTCATATAATTTCTGGCCCCTTGGCAGGTTGCCCAGCAGACCTCAGAGGGCTTATGTCTTTAGTGGGTACAGCAGTCTCTGAGAAGATAATCATTGAGAGACCATGTTGTGAGCTACAAGTGGTGTACAGATGTTCAGCATCCATACACAAATTTTTTTTTAATAATAGAACTTTGATCTCTTGTGGCTCTAGAAATATCCCTTGGCAGTCACCAAGAACATTCCAAAAACAACCCTCAGAGAAGCAGAAGGAAGGGCCCATCTGGGAGGAGAGTCTGAAACTCAGTCAGTACTGCGGAATGGGAAGCAGGGCATGGAGCTGGCGTTTAGCTTTGAGAAGATGAATGAATGGAATGATAGGCCATTACAGCTGCCTGCCATGCGCCAGGCACTATTAGAAGCAGTTGACATGTATTAACTTGTCCTCACCCAAACTCTGTGAAGTAATGTGGTAGTCTCAGCATTTCACAGGTGAAGAAAAGAGCTCATTAGTGGAGGGATGGGAATTCACACCCAGGCCACCCAGCTTCAGAGCCATGGTGCCATCACTACACTGCATTGCCTCACTGGAGATTCTTGTTTATACTGATTAATTGTGCCCCTACTTCCTGTTGCAGGAAGGAGTTTTTTGATGGCTGCAAAGCAATAAGTGCAGACAGCATTGATGGGATCTGTGCACGGTTCCCTAGCCTCTTAACAGAAGCCAAACAAGAGGACAAGTTCAAGGATCTGTACCGGTTTACATTTCAGTTTGGCCTGGACTCTGAAGAGGGGCAGCGGTCATTGCATCGGGAAATAGCCATTGCCCTGTGGAAGCTGGTCTTTACCCAGAACAACCCTCCAGTGTTGGACCAGTGGCTACACTTCCTAACAGAGAACCCCTCGGGGGTCAAGGGCATCTCCCGGGACACTTGGAACATGTTCCTTAACTTCACTCAGGTGATTGGCCCCGACCTCAGCAACTACAGCGAAGATGAGGCCTGGCCAAGTCTCTTTGATACCTTTGTGGAGTGGGAGATGGAGCGGAGGAAAAGAGAAGGGGCGGGGGGAGGTGCACTCAGCTCAGGGCCCTTGGGCTTGTGTCCCCAGGAGCGGGCTTAGTGCTCTGCTCCAGGGCTGCAGGGGTCTGCGCCGCCCTGGAGCCACCCGAGGAGCTGGACCTTTCTGGAGATGACCGACGATCCGGATATTTTCTACTTCACACCTTGCTCTGCCTTGTATCTGAAAGGGCTCTAAAATGCTGTATCATGTTTTAGGCACTTTCTTCACTTTTTGGTTATTTTGGTTATTTCTTTTTGGGGGGGCATCCCCCAAAATATTTGAACCTGGCTACATGTTATGTATCTTTTGTTTTTGTTGTTTGTTTTTTAAGCCTTCAGATAGAATAAGCCTGCCATTTCTTGCACAAATAGATTTTTTTGTTGGGGGGAGGCGCAGAGCAGGATAGGGATGGGTGGTCAGGTTGAGCTCACATTACAAACATCAGTGCCAGGTCTCAGTTGTGCATATTGTTCTTCAGGGCAGGTCTGTACTGTGTAGTGCTGTTTACATGGTTGAATTGAGGTTGTAATAATTATTTTTGAAGATTTACACAGAGTTGAGTAGCAGTGTTAACTGTTAACCACGTTGCATTAATTCCCAGGTGAGTTAAAGCTCTTGGAGAGCCAGGGCCCGCCAAGAGTGTCTGTCGTCTGGTGACAGCCCCATTAAGCTAGTTTATCGGGAACCCTCTGTCCCGCATTCTAGCTCCTCCCTTTGACCCACTGCATTTCACGTTGAGCTCCTCCCCCAGCACGCGGCACCTGTCAGTCAAGTGAGCAGTGTTCTAGATCACGTGCTAACAACCACTTAGGCATTGACTGCAGAGAAAGCAGTGCTACCTCAGTTTTGCTGGAAGTAGACTTTGATAGGTTTTTTTTTTTTTTTTTGATGAATTTTCTGTATTTTCATGTTGTAAGTGGAAATACTTTTTTTTTTTCATTTGCCTCGGAGCCAAAGTTTCTGCTCCTGGTGGTTGGAAACTGCCTGCCGGCCACTGGACTTGAAGGAAAACTGTGGTATGGAGCTCTGCTTGAATACTTCCTTACATTTTTTTTGCGTATCATCAGCTTACTTGTCTGGCAAGTGCAGAAGCCTGGGGCTGGCCTGAACCCCGCCAAACAAACAGAAGTGTATTTATAGTTCCGCGTGCGCCCTCCCCTTCTCGCTGCACCATGTTGTCACAGCCCCGGCGTTATTTATTGTCTCTGTACTGTCAGGCTCATGTGGGGTGATGTGATGACTGTTTAGGTTTACATGACCCTCTTCTCCTTCCCCTCCCCCAAAACATGTATATATACATATATAAGATATGTATATATTTTACCTATATAAAATATATATATATACACGTATATGTATCTATATTCCCGTTTCTTTGCCTGCTACACTGGCCAGAGCGGAGGGAGCTGCCCTGTGTGGAAGGTATAGAGTGCCAGGGAGCATCAGGGTGAGGCTTTTGAATCTGAGTTTGGACCATTTTCACTAAAGAGAAGATGAGTTTTCTCAGCTCTTTCCTCACAAGAGGGAGGCCCAGCTCCCCAGACGTCTACGTGCTCGCTCCATGAGGCCAGCTGTGGACAAACTGCCACAGGAGTCGACTCTGGTCCTACCTCGTTTCAGTGGAGGGTCCTCTTGTTATTTTTCCATTTTAAAAAAATGTCCTTACAAAACTGTACTGGAAGGGTGGGTGGCAGGAACTTGTACAGTTCAGCTTCCAACATTTTGGAAAAGATTGAAAGGGAATCTTTTAAATAAAAACTTATAAAAACTATTTATACTTTTGAGGTAATGAGAGTTTGTCTATTGAACATTTGGAGTTTTCTGCCCTAACTACCCTCAGGCATGTTCCTCAGCCTGGGCAAGCATTGCTGATCTCGGGTAGCCTTATGGATCCGGGCGCCCATCTTTTACAGAGATGGTTACTTAAGGAGTGTCTGCAGCGATGTTTCTCTGAAATTGACATTGACGTAGAGAATGTAACTGGAGTTTGAATTTTGCAGTCCTAACCCTGACCGTGGCCCCTTTAGAACTCCCAAGTCAGCGCAGCAGGTGGGTAGGGGCCCTGGAGAGCTGCAGAGGTAGGGTCTCAGGTCAGATGTTTGGCTTTGTGTAGCCTAAGACACAGGATTCTTGTATAAAGAGTTTCTAGGGACCCCCAGCTGGTTCTGTGGGTTCAGGTATAGCTGGGGGTACCCAAACTGAGTTCTTAAAGAGGCCACCTTCTCATCCAGCCAGTGTGCAAGCCCCCCGTTTTTCCCAGTTCTGAATTGGGTAGAGGTTGAGGCAGGCTGCTCCTAGCCAGGCAAGGCCCCTTCTGCCCCAGATCAGAAGAGGGTCTAGAGAGAAGTGCAGAGAGAGGGCGGCCCAGGACCCCGAGGACTCGGGAGGAACAGTCCATCCCCACCTGCAAGAAGCTGTTCCATGCATTAGGTGGACTCTAGCAGGTGGGTTTTGTTTTTTAATTGTTCACCTTCCCCAAGCCCACAGAAGAAACATTTTTAAAAGTTATTTTTGGTTATATTTTTAATGATATAGTTGTTACCAAAATGCAAATAAGAAACCAGAAAAGGGAGAAGTTAGGAGGGACTTACAAGTTCCTTCCAAGTTTGAGTCCCTGATGCATGGAATTCTGTAGTATCTCAGAATGTCAGGGCCGATACCTGACATTCTCATGACTACAGGAAAAGTTTTTCTGCAAAGGAATCCAAGGTGAGTGTGTAGGGTTTTCATTCATACTTCTGGGAAATGAAAGCTCCCTGTTCCTTACCCTGGAAATAGGTTTGCTAGTGAATGAGCAGGAATGGTGCGGAGGAGACCAAACGCAGGCCCCTCAGCGAAGCCAGGGCACCCTTCATTTGAACAGTGGGTGATGTGGAGAGGGCAGGACGTGGATGCCATTTTGAAAATAGGCAAATACCTGAGGGTGACTACAAACTGAAATAATGTGTAGGCAAATATCTTGGTTTTGGCAAAGGGCTTTGTGAGCTTCTGTAGTGTTTCTTGAGCAATTTGCTAGAAAGCTATGAGCTGGTGTCGCTTCACTGCCCTTCCCCGTTCCTGCAGAATTTGAGTGCACCCTTCTTAACCCTACCTCCCAGAACGCCACTTTGATAGGCTTCAGCCGGCCGCCTCAGCAGCGCCCCTCCTCCTTGCCAGATGGACCCACATGTGTGAGTTGGTTCCAAGACTCCATACCACATTCTGGTAAGGAAAATCTAGAACTGGGTGAAGATCCAGATTTCAGCCAAGCTCCCAGGCCCAAGGGAATCCCATTTAAGCTGTACAAGGCATTGTTTTCAATATTAAACGCTTAAGCCACACAGTATTACTAGGTCTCTGAAACAGTACTGGTGTGGCAGGGGCTGGGACCCCACAGTTAGGCCAAGTTGTTAAATGGGTGGGAACTTGTTGGGATAAGGGCTTCGGTCTAAAAACTTAAAAACCAAAACAGACCTGTGTTTAGGACTGTTTCAGTGGTCTTCAGTGCCACAACGGCCCAGCGGAAGCCCAGCTGCACCATTTCATGGCAAGGGGGCGGGACGCAGGGTTTGTTTTGCTGGCTGCCCGTTTCCATTTTCCTTGCGCGTCTGGTTAGTGAGCACTTAAACATCTTGGTAACGGACTCCAGCTACAAGGACTCTGCAAAGTCATAACATACTGATTTGTCATGTGTTCATAGGGACTCGTTAGAGGACACATGGAACTGCCTTTTCTTACTCCAGTCTGTTTTCTGAATCTTATGGAGGTGGTTCCCACCCCCTCCCTGCAGAGTTTAGTCCCATGGGAAGATGTAGTTACAGCGTATATTTAGTGTAACCTGAACTGGGCCTGCCTGTCAGTGAGGATCTGCAGGTGTTTTCTGATTGAAGGACAAGACTGATGTTTGAGCTCTGGTTCAGAAACCAGGACGGTTCCGATGGCTTTGAGTGACCATCAGGTTCTGCTCTGGTCAGGTCTGGGGCATCATACCCTCCCACTCCTCTTGGAGGCGCGGCCTGCTCTCATACCTGCTCACTGCCACTGCCCACCTCCCCACCCTACTTCCAGCACGGATCTTGGATGTTGCCAAAGGAAGCCATTCAGCCGCTGTGGTTTTCTGGGAGAAGTGTCTTCCCTCTGACCCTGGTCCCAGCCCCGAGTCTGTGATTAATTGCTCTTATCTGTTGCACTAATGAATGATTCTAGTTTCAAAGGGGGAATTTGAAGCAATAGGCAAAGGGGGCTTGGGTGAGTTGGTCTTAACAGATGCCCTGCCTTACCCCACTGAGGTGATGAGCCCACTACTCATGTGACCCTCCACCTTTGTGGATTCCTCTGGTTTGTGATCAGTGTGTTTCTTGAGGTTGTACAAATTGTTGACCGAAGCCAATACTTCTGTTTGTATTCTCTGCACTGTTACACTCTCCATCCAAATGGCCCCTTGAATATTCTCATTAACTTGTTACACATTTTTTGCCTTTGTCTACATTCTTTCTTTTAATGTTCTTTTATTTGGAAGGTTACCTACTGTTGGGTTTAATAAATTTGTTTACTTGATTATTGACAATTCTGGGGGGAGAACAAAACAAAAAACCAGTGGCTTTATTGAAGCAAGATATACCCACTGGGAGGCTCTTCCAACATGGTATTGGATAGCAATTCCTATGCTTTGAAAGTCCAAACATTAAGGACCCCCAGACTCCCACTCACCAAGCTTAATTGCCTTTGGTGGGGAGGGGAGTCCCTGTACTTCAGGCAAAAAGCAAATAAGTCCTCACAGGACCACTCCCTACATAGTCTTGCCTTAGCAACTGATGTGGACTCCCATCAGGAATAAAAAGCAAATTTGAGCTCTGTGCTGCACGGACGACTCCCGTGTCTGTCAGGGTGGCAGGGCGGCTGAGGCGACAAGACAAACCTGCACGCGGCAGCTGTGTGACCTCTGCAGGAGAGTGAACAGCTAGTTCCTTTTCTCCTCTGTAAAATGAAGACTATTTCCATCAATGTTAGGATTTACAAAGGAAGTGTTTTCAAAGCCCCTAAAACATGCACGTTTAAGGTTTCCACAAGGCTGTCATGCAGGTAATCCAGAGACTAGGAGAGGGGGTAGGGTCGCACATGACCATTCCCAGGTCACTGCCCCTCTTGGAGCCCAACTTCCCGCTGTGCCAAGTGGAGGGGAGGTGGCAGGCTTAGACTGGCATGATCCCTGATGACTCTGGCTCTTACATGGAAGTCTGACTGGTAGACTACTCATGACCTTTAGCCTCCTTTCATTGTATTCTGGCTAGTTATTGTCTATATTCAAGGAAGTGACTGGCCAGCCACCTCACTTCTTGGATGGAGGCCCGAATGGTCTTCCCAAAGATTGCCAGCCTCGTGTTGGTGTCTCCTGAAAGTCAGTCAGTACAGTGGTGGGATTAGATGTGCTTTTCTTTTTCTTTCCATTGGAAAAGGGCCTGGTAGTCATGGCTATATCCTCTCCAGCTCAGAAGAGGGTTATAGAGTTTTCTCAATGAAGGGGAAGTTTTTTTCCTCCATTATTACTAAGGTCAGCAGTTTCAAGGGGGGATTGGAAGGAAATCTAGAGGATGATTTTTTCCCCCTCACCTGAAAAGTACACTCCCAGAACATGTACTTGCTCTGTCCTTGGGCTTGTCTTCTGTGTGTGACCCCCAGCCCGGCCTTACAGAGGTGTGGGGAATGACAAAGTGAAGGACACGGGCTTAGGTGCTTGTATAGTCTAGAGCTATTCAAAGTGTTGTCACAGGGTTGTGCAGATTACATACAGCTAAAATCCAATTTTCAATTCAATGAGGGGCAAACAACTTCATCTAATTACCAGATGAGCTTAACTGCAGTGGACATTTCTAGCAAGAAAG